GTGTGTGTGTGTGTGTGTGTGTGTGTGTGTGTGACTGAGAACAAGCTACCATGTGTTGAGGCAAGAGAGATAAATTAAGGAGGCGAGAACAAATCTAGGATGAAGAAGAGGAAGCGGAGTGAAGGGCTACTGAGTGACATACAGAGAGAAACAGAGAGACAACGGAAAAGAGAGGTTCCCATAAAGAGTGCAATTAGCAATTATGCAGTCATCAATTACAATTATCACAACTGGTGATTATGCAATTATCACTCTAAATCATCTTTTCCCTCCTCTGCCTTACTAGTTTGCCACCTCCTGTGTTTTGGTTGTTTGAGGATGGGTTGTGATGATGCAGGTGATTAGAGTGTGTGATGATGGGGGTGTTGGGTGGGAGTCAAGGTAGATCTTGCATTGTGTTTGTGTGTGTGTGTGTGTGTGTGTGTGTGTGTGTGTGTGTGTGTGTATGTGTGCAAAATAAGTGTATAATGCTTGCTGCATGTCTGCATGCATATGTGCCTTGGTTTACAGTGTGTGAGTAAATTCTCTGTCTTTGTGTGTTTGTGTGTGTGTGTCTGTACATGCAGTGTTCATGAATATACTGCCTTCATCTCAAGGTGAATGTGGCTGCTGCTGTGGGTGGTTTGGGGACAGCAAATGTATGGTTCCTCAGTCCCTGAGGCCTCTAAATTACCTGTCATCTTCCCCATGATGCAAAGGTCAGTGCACAATCATAGGGAGTCCATCCTACTGTGGTGCTCACTGAGCGCCAGTCCAGCCCACAGGCTGACAGGATGTCACAACAACCCGGGTCCCGCTCCTTGCTTATTAGAACAAAACAGTGGGAAGCCCACTACCACCACCACACCGCTTGTCACAACACCTTCCAGAAAAATCTGCGGGATCCTGACAAGCTTTCAGTCCTCTGTGTTAATGGAAGTGTGGAGAAATGAGACAAAATATGGTCAACACTCTGCTAGTTGATATATAATACAATCTAGAGACATAGAGTGTTATTTTTAAATTAATTTTGTAAATGTGTAACATTTTAAACATGAAACATTAACATATCTATCATCCATGCAGTACTGACGCTGCTGTCAAAGATCCCTCCATTTTTAATATTGCCATGTTGAGCCATGTGTAATGCCCAGTGCTCAGCTTGGTTTCTGCTTGGTAGTATATACGACAATATTCCCTCTAGTACAACGTCCATAAAAATTTAGGAATAAACAACCAAACCAACAAAGAGTTGGTATCGGAGTATCTGTTTTAACACTTAAGAGCTGGAAAGTAAATGTCTTCAGAGATAATAACACAAATAACGACTCAAACTAAGAATTTCACATTTTCATTATGGACTTATCTATTAGTTTTTTTATTTATGGATTAATCATTACTCCATAAAACATCATAGAATAGTGAAAGTTAACTTCCTTAGTTTCCCAGAGCTCCACATGATGTCTTCAAATTGCTTGTTTTGTTTGATCAACAGTCTAAACTCGAAACAGGGAATATCTAGCATTTTTGCTTGATACGTGACTAAAATTTTTTATTTCAGTCAATCTTATTGTTTGAGCTCTACCACGAACCTAAGCAGATATGCATTTTTAATACAGTCATCAATGACAGTTTATTATGATAATGCAAAGGTTATGCTTAGACAATGATTTCATAGGCTAAAGCTTTTCCTAATGTCTCTTCACTTCCTGTACAAATCAACGTTTATCCAAAAACATAAATTTTGGTGTATTTTTCACATCAGATTTTGAATCCGTTTATGTAGAAAATTAAGAGACATATTTTTACAGAAATTTGTAACAATACAGAGGAAATTATGATTCGGTTGCTTCAATGTTTCATAAATATTTAAAAAACAACATCTTATATCAGTTATATCTGTATTTTCCAAAAAGCATATCAAAACCCTCATTTCTCAGATGCAGGATTGCCATGCCACCCCGCACTGTCACTGCAGGCATTTGTTTTGCGTTGAGCGTAGGTTCAAAGGAGAGGCGGGAGGAGAGATATGAGTTGGTGTGGAGTGACTGATGAGTGTGTGGAGAAGAGGGGCAGAGGTAAACCCTATTGCAATACAGTCTGGATGGAAGAGAGACCCGTGTGCACCCACTTATGCACACCCACGTGCACACATGCAAACTTGAACTTGGGTGCAAGCAAACACACACGTCAAGTCGCAGTCACGCAGATGCACACTACACAAAGACTGTGTCTCAGGGCAGATTTAATCAGGGTGACACCCATCTCAGAGCGGTGGTAGCGGCATGGCGGTGGCCGTGGCGGTCTCTGGATGCCCGGCGAGATGAGCAGTCAGAGCACTGACACACATCTCGTCGCCACGTCAATTCCAATCAGCGGTGCCTGTCAGTCAAAGCACCGCGCTCGCAACAGACTGACGCCACTGCCACTGCAGAGCTGCCAT